GAACACGAACAAAGATGTGTACTCATCCCACAAATGTGGTCTCAACTAATAGAACTTCTTGCTCTAGAGCCGTTAGATGTTAGATTCAGTTCGGTGTGCAATCGTGTGCTGTCACGAACACCGACACTTTTGCGTAAGAAGACTATTTCTGTTGGAGACGTGGTCAATTTTTGACGTTCAGTTGCTCACACAGTCTCAAAGCTGGCTTTGTACAGCCAAGGGGTGCCTATCAGTGCATAATAAATGAAGTCTCAAGGTTGCCTGCTCGTGCAACGTTTCATTTCACACACGAGAACCTCGCCTACAGCAGCCCGAGTTTCGTAGGACGTGAATGCGGAAAACTGACTGCTGTACGAATCAAGGGATTTCATTGCTTTTCCATCTGTCTTTAAACTCAGCCAATCTGGTAACGTACTCACTTGGCCCAACGAGGCGTTTGTGTCGGAAGCGAGACATTGCTCAGCTGTGACACCACAGATTATTTACCAAATCGTTCGGAAACGATGACTACTCAGTAGGTTTTGTACTAATCAGCGGGTCTAGTTTTCACATGCACCCAAATTCACTTCGGGGTGAGGTAAACCAAAGGTCAGTTTATAGAAACGACGTTGCCTGAAGTGCGAGCGAACGCTTGAGGATTGACAAAGAAACAGAAATTCGTGGATAAAGCGCGCGTGGCAGAAAAAATCCAAACCTATTTTTCTACAAAAACCAAACAATCTCTTCGAAAGCTATTCCTTCTCTGCTATCCCGAGCAAAAAGAGGAAACTTTGATTTTGTCAGATGGGGAAATATTACACGCCGGTCCGTGTCAATTCCAACCACTCTCACTCTTGGTCGAACACACGAACACAGACATCAGGTAAGAGATATCAGTAGGTGTACATCAGTTCAACTAGATTTACGCACCCGCTACTACACCGAATAACAAAACACAACCGTAATACCAGTTCCAAAAAGAGTACTAACGATCGTCATCCCAGATTGATGTAGCAGATTAATCCTGATGTGTTTTTTCTCTCGAAGGGCAAAACATCTTCTGGTTGGCCAGATTCTTTCCCTCAAGGGAGCAATTTCGTAGCAAACGTCTTCTGAAGAGAGGATGCGTGCATGCATGCATTTGTTTGTTTGTTAGTTAGTTTGTTTACTTAAGCTGGAAAATGAAACTGAGCTGGGGAGTCACGTGACGTGAACTGGTAGTACACCTGTTACCAGCATACAAGGGAGTGAACAGAACCATGGGAGGTAGGGGGACGGGAACTTTTGAAGACCGGTTGATGAATGGGGAACGGTTCTCATCAAAGCGTTGAAGACTTATGGAGAGAAGCGGACAGTGTAAATGAAGTGGCTATCACACGGATCGGTCATTTCCTGCTAGAGGTAAGATTTTCACTAGTTACCAAAAGATAGCTGCAGAGGGGTCCATTCAGTCATGCTGAAATGGCCGTAAACTGTTTCATACCACTCTAAATTTTAAGCCGCAAATCTGGAAGAACTGTAATAGACAACCGACAACCTGACAGAATGGACATAATGTCGCTTCTGTGAGCGACTCCACTGAGGCACACTTGAGGTTGAACCAATGTGGTAGAAAGATTTGCGATCTGTGACCCTTATTCACAGTACTGATCGGTCATAGGTGACGGAAACGCATGGTAATCGAACATTAACTAGAGTTTGAGTTTGCTTCTCCCCATGGGTTCATGAAATACGTATTGCTAATGATTTTCACAGGGGGATGAGGCAGTTTCGTTATCCGCAAACCGATAAGCCGCATACAACCAGTGTTAGTCACCTTGGGGAGCCTGTGAGTACTGGTATCTTACAGAGGACATGAAACGTAACTGATTCCCTAGTGGTTTGCGGTCCAACATTTCCTGGGCGGACCGCTAACTAAACGTCCAGTTGTTGTGCCCTTAGCCTTAAAAAGTATATTTTATGTCTTCGGTCACAAAACAACACGTGTGAAAGAAGGCCAGCGAGGGTTAATTTGAAGGCCCTATGCAGAGATCTGAACCCGAGTCGAAAATGATGCCAAATCAGTTCCGGTGACGGCTTTTCGCTGCAGCATGATCTTTAGGTTTACTGGATGTACCTCACTGAAGTTCTATTACGCAGACATCAATATGGTAGTGACCAAAACCACGATTGGATGTACGCGTATCACCAGAAGCAAACAGTAGAGCACGGTGTCATAACCCATAACGACGAATTATGTTCAGCAGCACTCAGTCTCCACCTGTCTTGGGAGGGAAAAAGTGATTCGAGCCACTTGATTCGTACTCCCAGGAATGCAACGCCGGACAGCAAAAGAAGAATTTGAATAAAATGACGACGCGCACTCATTGGCTGACAGAGTTTAAGAGGGGATCTGAAATCCCAAAGCCTTACTGGTGCTTGTGCACTTCATCCCATCTTTCTATGGCAACCAATCTGTAGGAACCGTCATTTTTGGCGGGTTCTGTCCGGTTCTCAGCGGACAAATTTCATGTGCAGCACATTTATCCCCTTGTTACACTTTATTCTTAAAAATTCATCGATGAGGACGAATACAATGCAATTTGCCGAGAATCACAGAGCCATGACATACTTCAGGATGTCCGTTCCTCCAGAGTGTTCATTTTCGATTAGTCTCGCCTGCGATTCTGAAGATATAGGATTTTCTGTTCGTTTGGCCAGAATAAAAGTGTTCAGGTCTTCCCTTACAGCGTGCCCACCATCTTAGCCTCAGGCTAGGATCTATGCAGTCAATGGTGCGCGCAGGGTCCTGCATCGTTTGATTCCGTTTGGTTGCCAGATTACATTTCTGGACAGAACAATGGTGCAGTAGTGTCCGGTCAGACGACAAAACACTATATGTTGGACTGTTTTTGGTTAGGGCGCCGCTGCTGTTTGTTTCGGGGTTTTGAGACGTTTCGGGGAAGCAAACAATTTTGCAGACCAGCTGATTGCAATGGGATGGGAGAATATTCGAAAAATGTACCTCCTTACACCCATAACACCGCAGTGTAGATACAGCCGAAATCACGACTAGTCATCCAACGAATTGATGCAAACTAAGAAACATCCAGAATCTCGTGTCTCTATCCTTTTCAGAATCCATTCCCGGAAAGGGTAGTTAGGCACGTCCTGATAAAGTAATCTGAAGATCTACTCAGGATGACCGGTGAAGGTAATAGCAGAAATGGAAAGTGTGCATTGAGACGAGGACATGGCATTATTATCACTAACATTTTTGGGCAATCAAAATTCAGCCATTTCTGGCCTTTGACGCCAAGTTTTCATGTTCCAATCTGGAAATTCCTCATCAACTTCGCGGATTGACGGAAAAACCAATGTAGCCAAGATGTAAAAGTATTGCTTTTGTGTACACCAATCCATATCAGTCGTACGTATGTCAAACAGTGGGATCGATTAAAACTGATAAACCGGAGAGTAGTTTTCTTAAACAATAGTCCAGCGCCATTGTAACCAAGGACGAAAGCGGCGACCACTACTAGCCCACTATTGTATACCAGGAATAATATCGTACATACTGATGGACAGTAGAATGCCTTATGTAAATTCGAACTGGTGACGGTACCGGATATCGGCCAGTTTATGGACGGGGTGGGCCACCGCTATTCCGTGAGCCGCGAAGCTTCCAAACAACCGGACGTGTCCAATATGTCAAACAATGTAATCACTACAAGTACGGATAAAAAGCACCGAAGTTACAAGATGTTAATCAGATTTGACCCAAATGCGGAAGTACTTTTTTGCTTTGCCTCTTGGGATGGATGAGGAGCGCGACTGAGTTTCATCGCTGTGTTCGATCCGTACTGACCAAGGTAGACCAAGAGGTCCACAGTGCCGTTGCCGGCTTGACATAGTCAAAACACAAAGCTAACGGCCGGTCCGATATCCGGGTTTTAACAAAACCATTGTGTTTGAAACGCAACTCGGCTACCCCTGAGCTATTCATACCTACAACAGCGATGGGAAGTGTTACTTTTGTGCAAAAGCGAGCATAACCGGTGGATTAGCGTCTCAGATTACCACTGTCCAAGAAATTCTTCTGAATCAGAAGTCCCGTCAGAGTCTATGTCGTTTCTGTTTTCTTCACCTAGGGAACGTACAAGCACTTCTATCAAAACCGACAGACAGCATTACAGCAAATACTGGAGACGTTTCTGGACAGCCTGTATCGCTCCGCGGGAAAGAACATCACCCACTGTGTATTCAAATGCTAATTTGCATAGACACAATGGAGATACAATTATCTATTTTTGGAGCAGTTGCAGTCAGACGCTTGTCTTTTTTGTCCCCCTGGCATAGGGCAGTCAAGATAGAATCTCGCTTCGAATTTCGAGGCTGCTTGAATGACAATCTCTTACTGAAATCAGTCTGAATAGATTTTGGGGTGAACGTTCCTCTAAGTTCCACAAAATCTAATTAGGATATTCTTGGAGCACTTGCTTTTGTGAACAGGTTCTCCGGACTTTTCTCCCAATCTGAAACCTGACAAAACAAAGCATCTATCAGCACTTAGGTCGTTTGATGTTCACAAAGTGCGAGGGCAAATAAGTTTTGTTTTCAATCCCGTCAAAGGAAACACAAGTGTTCACGCTCCATTACCGGTAGTTTCCTCCAAAAAAGACAGCATGTAGAAATACGTACGTCCTGTGAAAACCGCCGGGGATTGTTCTGCTTGACCTGAGGCCCAATATGGGCCTCCTTATAGGATCTAACTTGTGGTGAACACAGTGCCGTGGTCAGTACAAACTTCTCTGTTAGGAGGTTGGTTAGATCCAGTCCATGTTGAAGCCCTTAAGGCGTAGCCGGTCGACAGTTCTGTATTTAAGGTGCTCAACTTTTTATTAGGTTTGGTGTCCGTACGTGTTTGTGACCATGCAGTTTCTATCTCATTGACCAACAAATCTGAAAGAATAATTAACATTTTACCTGACCAGTTTATTGATGTAACGCTGGCACGGGGTGCTAGAACAGCCTTTCAATACAACCTATTGGATCAGTAGGCGGAACAGGTCGACCTCACTTCAGTACTATTGAGGAGCCCAAAGCAAGGAGCAGCTTTATCATGAAGGAGACTACTCACAAGGTTGCTGAAAACTCTTCGACAGCCCACGACAGGTTTCGCCCTTCTTGGGGCTCATCAGGTAGGCGCAGTCCCCGAGGTTCCTTAAACCTTATGTTCTACGTGAACCCAAATTGGACAGTTTTCGAGAAATAAACGAGAGATTCAGTCGAGTCTCTCGTGAAAACCAAATTGATTTGCAAATGAGTGTATTTCTCAAGAACCACCTTATTTTTGTCAACTTCGTCGGATCGCAGTTACCTAGTGGGACCGAACTGGATTCGGGCGAGCAAATTTTGTCATATCCGCTTTTTGTTTCGACGACGTAACCCAAGCTGATGATTGCAGGTGTTTTTTCTGTTACACGGCTGTGTCAAATGAATCCGCAAAAATCTTGCTGAGAAGGAATGGCAAAATTGTGAGGGGAGCGATAAAGGGCGCTGAGAAGCACGCAATAATACCCTGTTCGAAGCTACAAGGTCCTTCCGGATTGTAAGGGGGAGTACATTCAGCTGGATGGCTTGCTACTAATACTAATACCATTAGTAATACTGATGAGATAATCGTCCGGCTGTAGGAACGCTTGGGTGTCTAGCTGTCGTGTCACTCAAGGGAATAACCAGGGACGGGATACTGTCAGGCTGCCAACCTTAAACAGGCGCAGTCGAGATGCTGTAGTCAGGTGAGAATCAAGTACCTTTGGGTCACAAAGTTCGTGCTTTAACTACTGAGCTACCTCGAGCCGAGTGGTTATGACCAGGTTCAAACTGTTAGGAATCCCGTGAAGGAACATCAAGGACCACTCTATCCGCATATAAGAATCAGTTCCTAGAATTTGGTGCAACCTTTGCGACAGGAGTTGCACACACTATCTTCTCAATATTCATAGATTATTTTCCCTTGATAACCAATTGTTTAGGTGGCTCTCATCACTGGATATCAGAATGATCACTGACAGTAGTATCTTTATAGCCTACGCGCTACACACCTACAATGAAAGAGCAACGGACTGAAAGGCAGTAGTCGATCTGGTGTTGAGCCGGTTTGCAGCCACGTCGCCCCCTTTGGAGGGTGGTAAGTTTCATGGTAAAAATTTGCAAAGGGGTCGGTCGCATCAGCAGTGTCTTGTGCCAAATGTTCCATGGGCTTTTTCCAGATGGTTCACTCTGATATTTCCTCGTGGACGAAATCGATGACAGCAAACATTCCTCAATTTAGTGACTGGCAGAGCGGAAAAATCAAATTTCCAAGCAAAATGGGACATTTTGCTTGTACAATACTTACCATTTCCCTGTCATCCAAGACATCAATCACTTTGTCATCCCAGTCGAGCAGACCTCCATCACGTGCCAAGGTCAAAGAGTCCACCTGACAGACTCCCAACTCATTCGCTGTGCTCAGCACTCCCGGATCAATAGAGTCGCCGGAATCTGGCTTGTCATCACGTGTACGGCGCAGACCCGTTGCGGAATTCTCCAAGCTTCTTGCCTGGAATTTAAAAAAATTGCACCATTACAACACCTTCTGAAGGAAGCTGAAAAACACAACCAAATCCAAACCAGCAGCGTTCTACAATGTCTCTGGACAGTGAGTAGATTCAAAGACGCCAACCGCTTCCGTAACCCGTCAAACACTGTATTTTCTCACAACCAAAGTTCAACAAGTTATTCGAGATATCGCAGTACATTTTCATAAAGGAGACTACTCACAAGGTTGCTGAAAACTCTCTGACACTCCACGACTGATTTTGCCCTTCTTGGGGCTCATCAGGTAGGCGCAGTCCCCGAGGTTCCTTAAACCTTATGTTCTACGTGAACCCAAATTGGACAGTTTTCGAGAAATAAACGAGAGATTCAGTCGAGTCTCTCGTGAAAACCAAATTGATTTGCAAATGAGTGTATTTCTCAAGAACCACCTTATTTTTGTCAACTTCGTCGGATCGCAGTTACCTAGTGGGACCGAACTGGATTCGGGCGAGCAAATTTTGTCATATCCGCTTTTTGTTTCGACGACGTAACCCAAGCTGATGATTGCAGGTGTTTTTTCTGTTACACGGCTGTGTCAAATGAATCCGCAAAAATCTTGCTGAGAAGGAATGGCAAAATTGTGAGGGGAGCGATAAAGGGCGCTGAGAAGCACGCAAACAATAACCTTGTGAGTAGTTTCTTGTATCAAAATTCAACACCTTTTCCGCCTTTTTTTGGCAACTTTTTGACTTTTAAGGCCATAATGGGACTGTAATTATGACGTCAGATTGCATCAGACTATAAGGCCATACACAGCGCCACAGCTCACGCTCCAATTGTTATTCCAGCTTCCCCATCCTATCGAGATTGGAGCAGCTCGACTTCAGCTGAAAGCTGACTTAACAGCGTAAACAAACCATTACACGTTACAACTACCTTGAGTGCTGTAAGGCAAGATCTCGACCGTCGATATTCCATTTTGCAAATTCAGGGGATTTAAACGCAAACCATCAGCGACTCGAAAATTTTTGCCGGGATGAGGCTTCAAACAACCGTTTGGCCGTATAAAAGAGCACTTGTTGGGTGAAAGAAAACGATGCACGCAATTCCGACTGTTATTAGTCCATCAGTGTAAATAGACCAGTTTAGGTAAACTCCCTGGGTATATGCCTCATTGAGGTCTCATGTTGATCCCAATTTGTGCTGCCATTTGGTCGGCCTAAAGATTGCACAAATTATACTGGTGTTGATAAAAATAAATGTTTAGTTTTCCAACACTGTTGTGTGCCGCTGAGTCCGGTGGACAAATTTTCTTTGTTTAGTGTTGCTGAGAACTCTTGAGGAATATCGGTTGAGCCGCTCGTCCACATCACCTAAATTTGTAAATAACCGTTTAACTCTACACACGGCCTTAGTCCCCCCGGTCACCTGAGAGGTCACAGATTCAATGCTCATGGTGTGAGCAAGATAGAGATAGGCATTCCAAATCGTGCGCAGTACAAATATGTCATCAGCTGGGGTTGTTGCTGTTGTACGCCCACGAGCACGCTTTATACTGAAGATCATGTGAATGAAAGCGATACCACATGCAGTCAAAACGCTAATAATCGTTGTCGCCGAGTCTCGCCTCTTTTCCAAACAATGCATGCGACATAAAAATTGTTCAGTCGTTACATCCTTCCGGTGGCCTAACTGCCATGCCACCCAAAGGAGGCACGAAGGCGGGAATACTGCCAGATTGCCCAAGCCTAGACAGAGAAAGTCGAGAGGTAGATGTCAAGTTCGAAACACGGACCTTTCAGTCAGTAAAGTAGAGCCATCCCGCCTGCGGCAAACACTTCTGACAAGTCTTCACCTGTTGACTGGATAACCAATCCATTTGTTTCCTACATGATATGGAGCAAATGTGTTCAATTCACTTGTGTCTTGTGGGATCATCTCGTGGGTTGGCATGAATTATTGATCACCAGTGCTGCGATTTATTCGCTGTCGCAATAGCAGAAATAAAATGCAAAGATTTCAGTAGCGTGATTTGTGATCAGCAGCGAACAACAACAATGCGACTACTACCGGTAATTTGCGATTATTTTCAACCGGTGTGCTTTTGAATGTGTAACGGTGATCTCAGGACCAGAAGAGTTGCTTGCGCGGTGATAGAGTAACTGTTCAAACTAATCACCGTTTTCGAAAATGGTGTTGAATCGGAGAGATCGATCAGATGATGACACGTCAATTTTTGTGACAAAACCAATGGTCTTCAGAGTTCCGTTCAGATGATTTTGAGTGAACAATGTGACATAAAATCGGGGGCGGAATATTTCTGCCTCATTCGTGCACAATCTCAGTCACTGACTGGAAACGGCCTATCTCAAATCAACCTACCCATGTTGCCCAAACCTATGCTGTACGTCCCATTTCACAAATATATCGCTCGCCTACAATACTGCCAACTTCTCTACGCTTCATGCTATTGGATGGGGTGTAAAGTTATCGCTTTCCGGAGACCTATAAAGCAGACTTGGACACGGTAGCAAAGTACACACAAAGATACATCTGAAACCAGCAACGGATCCTTTGACATCCTACACCCCCACGGAACACATCTCTCCATGCCGAGTGGCTCAGGTCGGTCCGTTCAAATTCCTACTGTAATTCTTATGAACTGCATTTCTATTAATCTATTCTAGTTGTTCAAATTTCAACAGGACTGAAGAAATACATGTAAGGGTATGGTTCCAGATGGGTTTGTAGCACGGCAAACTTTCCGTTTTGACAGAAAAACTCCACCAGACCAAGTGACTAGGTTACTAGGTTGGCCAAGTGTAATTGCAGTAATGCCTCAGCTCAGTCTTCGGTCTGAAACTTTCAAGCTAGCGTTTTCGACAAAACAGACCAACAAAGCTGTACAACGTGTATTACCCGCTCAAGACCAGGTCAAAACACATATGCAACGCATTGTATTTGAAGTGTACAAGGGTGAGAACATTCCGGAAATTCCGACGCCTTGACGAGGCATCGGCAACCGGTATTCGGCGGATGCGGAATTATGATTGGTTATTGGGTCCATCCATTCGGCGAATCAGGCTTTGATGCTGGACCGGCAAGCGGTCCGATGTTCAGGCCAACCGGAGTAGCACCTAGCTGCGGTTCTGGTACAGAATTCTGCCGAACACGAAGTGTTAGGTTAGACGAAGAACCAGACTCCCGGGTGAAGACCACCTTGGGACGAAGCAAGCACTTTTCAGAAACCACGTCACCACAGACAGAAGAGGAGAAATTTACCTACTCAATCTCCAACTGATGATGTCATCTTGACTGTTTGCAATCCAACCACCAAGTTTGGTGCCTAAATCTTACGGTCAATGGGTCTTTCTTGTGGGTATTCATTTGAGGCAGGTCTAACTCATTTTAAGTGGGCGAGAATCCAACAGCTGAAGCCACCAACGAAAACGATCTATTCGCATAGGTCATCGTTGCAGAGGGAAATCCAGTACCATGCCAGTACTTCGATATCCTGGCATGACACTGGCTCATGCATGAAGCCACCAAACCAATCCCAGTGTGACCACAGCTTTGAGCTCAGTCACAGACTATACTTCAATGCCTCTCTCTCTCCCATTTGGTGCGTGGTCAACAGCGGGGTATGACATCCAACAAAGAGGCAACATCAAGGACAACAGACTGTTCCACACTGTTAGCTCCAACAAGTCCCAGAAGAAGAAACGTCCAGCAGATGACCGCTTTTTATCTCGCTACCCTATAATTCTGCATTGACGAACCCCACATCATTGTGTATAGATTGAGGTCGCCTTAATGCTGCTATCACACTGATGAATTGTGTTCATCTTGAAATAGTAAAAAAACATTGATTAAGTTTAATATTGTCCAGCCACAGATGGGACAGTTCCCAAATCATTTTCGGGACAACGGTGGCGGTGTTGTTTTCCACACACACACACACACACACACACATACAAAAACTTGTTTCTCCAAACCGTGGATAAAGTAAACTATGCGCTAGGTTGAATAAACATTCCACTGGTTTATGCACCAGACTCAGAAAAAAATACAGGTGATAAAACCGGTTTGAATAAAATGAGAAATAATCGCATAAGGCAAGGTTAAATGTAAGTACACACTTCCAAATGCACAGCAACACGAATTGCTGGGGGGAACGAAGTTAACAGCAGCATCAACACAGATTACAACAAGTGAATCCGCCAAGGGTCCAAAGAGATTTTTGATGACTGCATACAAGCCGGTCTCAATCAGACCGATTTATCTCAACTGTCTTAGAAGACTCGTAACCGCATGGGGTGTGTGCAATGAGGGAAAAACTACTAAGAAGATTGAACAAGTAGTGATAGGGTGAGGTAGCATTAGGGAGTGCATGAGAATCAGTTGAGTTCTGGGGAAGACAGACTGCAAGAAAATCCTAACGCCGTGGTAACCTATTATTTTTTCAGCATTCCCAGCTCATTTCAAACGTCAGGTTTGCATCCCAAAAGCCATATAATGCATTTTCAAAAGGTGCACACTTGACAATGAACTGGTTTGAAACAGAGGACTGTAAAAATGGATAATAGACCGAAACTGTTACCCAAAAGCCCGACCGTATTTGGCTGATGGGTTCTGATGAAAACAAAGGTGATGTTTGGGATTTTCGAGATCCGACCACTTCAGTATTTTCTGCACTATCATTCACGGACAAGTTTATTATTAGAGAGCCAGATTTATTAGCCGATAAGCACCTTACTTGGTCATTTTGAGCGGCAAAAAATTAATCGATATAGCACTGATTTTCGGACATTCTGTTTGCATTGCTGGCCGAAAGGTCATGAGTACTTTTCTGAGGTTTACATCGGTGCAATTCATTGGTGATTTAGGACGTTCTTTCATCGGTCCGTCGGCGAACATTAAGGCTGTATTCAAACAAGACAACTTTATGAAGTATGGTACAAAATAGTAAATTGTGTTGAAAAAAAGCTGGGACTTGCTGCCACTTAAGAGTACACACTAGTGACGCTAAACTGACAACGGTAGAAAATTGCGGCACATCTGGTGAAGATGAGGCACTGAACGGAAGTGCGGGAATCCATTAGCAAGGTACATACACCGCATTCGTGTTTCGTCCGTGGTCAGAGCAGACCGAAGACCGATTAGGTGGCTGAGAGCTT